ATACACACAGTCCTTTACATCTCAGTCACTATTCACATTCATTGTATGGAAAAAGTGAGTCATTATGAAAGTAGTCAAAGAAAAACCTGCAGTTTTGGAACAATATCAGGCATGAGTAAATGACTGAATTTCATTTTTATGTTGAATACATGGAGATAATTACAGAAATAATGTATTTTAATCATGATAAAAATTGTAACATTTTTCTAAGAGTGGAAATTTGCCTACAGCCAAAGAAAAAATTAAATATCAAGCATCTAACAAGCAAATAGCTACATTTAAATGTCTACAATACAAAAAGTTATATAGAATAGCTACATATAACTACTGTTTATGTTTTTATTTTAGCGTGTATATCTCGAGTGTATATGACAGTCATGCTCCGTATTTGTCAATGGCTCAATCCTCACATAAGCAAACAGGGTAGCACGAGAACTCCAGCGCTACACATTAAATCACTTACTGTCATAATGTCGCTTCTTAAGTTACCGTTTCCTATAGCTGTGTCTAGCTTGCTTGTCGTAGCCCCTTGGTTTAATGCTCCATAACTGTCCTTGATGTGGTCACCCATGCATCCAGGGATTGATTCTGTTTTTCTTTGGGACTGAAGTTTTTTTTTTTGTTTTTTTTTTGAGGAAGTAAGAAGGCCGCTGTTCGTCTGAACTCAGTGACGCACACAGAGGTTATATAGGCCAGTCACCAGCAGGGGGCGCTAGTGTAGCTTTTATATAAACTGTAATTTACACAATATTGTTTAATGGTACAGTTAACTCCTATATATATATATCAGTGAACAACGGCTCTGTGTAGTTAATGCTGCTCAATGTGAAAGCCCGCAGGTGATGGAGATTTACGCTGATGACAGAACCGGCTTTCTGACAAGATGCGCGTTAAATATCGCATGCGATTAATCGTGCAGCCCTAATGCAATGTCACAAGTCATTACAAATAGAAAAGTTTGATTCTAACATACAAGGTATTTAAATATTCAGAAATACAATCATTAATTCACTGGATCTTATACAACAATTTCATAATAGATATGAATAAAAATCCCTTTTGACAAGGCACAATTACCAAACCTGAGATTACAATGTAAATACTTTTCTTCTTTACGATATCTACTTGTTTTTCTGAACAGGCACTATGTTCGTGGGATTGTGTAGGAATTCATAAAGCTGCCTGGCGTTGCTGCTACTGCCCAATATCTCACTGAGCTTTTCGTGACTAAATGTTATAAGATCAGTCAGACAGGAAGCATGTTTTATAAGGCTCTTGAAGTTTTTCACATTGACTCCAGGCATACGGAGCAAGAAGTCGTAAGGTCCGGGGTTGTACAGGTCTGCTGACTCCGTCACGGTCTCGGATTCGGCAGTAACGGCCTGAGCTGTGGCAGCGTCGGGCTCCGGGCGGCTGTGTTTGAGCTCCTGAAACAGCTCTGCTGTCACATAGGGAGACGGGCACCAGAGCAGCCTCAGGCGGGGGAAATGGAGGGTGAGTAGGGTCAGTTTGGAGGTGACGTCACTAGCAGAGATCTCCTGACGAAAGTCACTGCGGGCCACCAGGGAGAAAGGCTTTGCGGGGTCAAACTCGATAAGCAGCACGGGACGGCAATAGAATCGAGTCATAGAGAGGCACTGTGTGTAGAGACGCCCACTCTGCAGGGAACCAATGAGGTCGCTGATACTTTTGCGCTCTACGCAGATCTCAGAAGTCAATATGTAGTCGCCAACCTCTAAGGTGACTGGTTCAATGTCGAGACCCCGTTGATGCAGAAGGGAAGGAAGCTCACTGCGAAACTCCCGCATGTCAACTATGATTCGCTGAGGCTCTTTAACCTCTTGACGACCCCCTAATTGAACATACCAACCATTTTTCAGCACATCACATACTGAACTGACAAAACCATATTTTATGACTAAGTCAGGTGGAATAGTGAAGGTTTACCTGCTTTGCGGGTGCTGGTGGCGGCACTGGCAGGTTCATGACTGCGGACAAGATCTAGGTTGGTGTCTTCCCTACCCTCTCTCTCTTCTGGCACAACCATGCTGGCCTTTTCCCTATTTTAAAAAGAAAAACAGCTTTTAAGATAAACACTGTCACAAACAGATGAATGCAATTGAATGAATGCAATGAATGAAATATTGAGCTAACCTTATGAGGTACTCGAATGCTTGTTTCTCTTTGCTCAAGACTGTAAGATACCTCTGTTCTTCTGTCGAGCCTCCATATAGAAGAAAATACACACTAAACATAAGGGGGAAAACAATCAGGAAAGCTAAATATTTGATATTAAATGTAAATATGGAAAAAATATATTTATATAAATAATTTAAATTGTTTAAATAAAAATATATAAATGAATACAATACCATTCAAAAGTTTGGGTAAGTATGATTTTTTTTTTAAATTAGAAATTAATACTTGCATTAAATTGATCACAGTAAAGACATTCATAACGCTACAAAAGATTTGTTTTTAAATAAATGCTGTTTTTTTTTTTTTTTACTTTCTATTCATCAAATAATCTTGTGTAAAAAATGTATCACGGTTTCCACAAAAATATTAAGCAGCACAACATTCAACATTTTCAACATTGATAATAATAAAAAAATATTTCTTGAGCACCAAAGCAACATAATAGAATTATTTTTGAAGGGTCATATGACACTGAAAACTGAAGTAATGGCTGCTGAAAGTTCATCTTTGGCATAACAACATTTTGCAATTTAAAATATATTACAATAGAAAACAATTATTTTAAATTGTAATAATATGTCACAATATTACCTTTTTACTTTATTTTTTATCAAATGAATGCAGCTTTGGCGAGCATAAATTATTTCAAAAGCATTTTAAAAATCTTACCGACCCCAAACTTTTGAGCAGTAGTGAAATTTGAGTTTCTTGAAATATACATTTGCTCCATGCCTATATACACACCGAAGAGGTTTTCCTGGCCTGCTGGCTTTATAAATTTCAAGCTGCCGCACAAAACTGAGTTCTGCATCATACAAAACAACAAACATGGGGTCAACCTCATGCAACACCCGTGTCAAACTGTAGGGGTCACTGCATCCCTTCAGTGGGTGAATGACAGTCAATGGCTCTTTAAGAATGCCATAGTAGTCATCGGAAGAAAGATCAAGAAGAATCTCTTCTTCTTCCTCTTCCTCTTCAGCCAACCCTCCTTCATCTTCACTGTTCCCAATGAAGTCCTTTTCAGCTCCATCTTCCTGCCTCTGCATCTGAGAGACTCTTGACGGTCTCTCGATCTTTGTTGGTTTTTTTGAGTTGGTTTTGGTTTTCTTCCCTTTGCTCCTAACAGAATCCTTCTTTGCCCAGCCTTTGTCGAGCTTCAGTAGATCAGGCTGAGGATCTTCTTTTCCAACAGTGCGTGAATAAAGGCGATTCAGAAGGTGTTCTGCTCCTTTTTGGATATATTCCTTAAGCTGGGCACATGTTCTGTCATCACTGGCACATATCAACACACGGCCTGGTGTACAGACAACAAATGTAACTTCATGCTCTGCATATGAATGGTTCATGAAACACTTTACTGTTAAATGATTTTACCTGGTTCATGCTCAGAGCTGCTGTTTTCTTTCTCAATCTCCTGTAGCACCTCTGTTAGAGCGTCCCACTTTGGGTTTTTCTCAAGCACAAGCTCTCTTTTTGGAGGGGCTAGTTTTATACATAAACACAAAAGAAGATACTAGCATTAGTGTACATTAAAAATGAGAAACAAGTATGTAAAGACCATTTAGAAGAAACACTACACATCAAACATATTGTACCCAGGGCACTTTGTTTCTGGTCAGTCTCTCCAACTTTCAGTTTCTTCTTTGACTCCTGAATGCGATACACGCGGCTGCGAGCATTTACAAACATTGATGTGCTTGAGTCCAAGAATAACCAGCCTGATTCAGAACAGGAAAAAATGAATCAGGTGACCTTTACTGACTATAGTTTGCTCCATCACTGAAGAGTTCAAATAGAGCAACAGATCAGTACCTGAATTACTACCGAAGCTTTTCTGGCTGGTTCTCAAAGACTCCAGCAGATTGAGGAAGGTGACACAGTCGTATTGAGTGAGGTAGAGAAGAAGGGTTCTTAAAATCTTCAGGTCTTGAACGAGAGATTTAGTCCTGGACCCCAGCTGATGCCACAGTGGGTCAAGATAATGACGAATTGTCTACATATGGAAAAACATGGTCAGCAACTCACAATTTACTCATGATCAGCAACTCGCATTTTTTTGTGTGTGTGTGTGATATGCAATTATTTAATTTATCTATCTTTATTTTTTTGTTTTATTTTCTCATTATTTTTAAAATTGTTTTGAAATAATTGTCTATTTATATTTGCCTCAGCAATACAGCACTTTTGTAAATTAATATAAAAATAAATGTATTTATTTATTTATAACCATTATTTAATATAATTATCATTTTGAATATTTATTTAT